TCAGACTTACAGAAGATCTACTTCCTGTCTAATTCTACATAATTTTCTACACGCTTCAGTAAATCTACTTTCTAGCTTATTTAACATCAAAGCTATCTCATGTTTTATCCCAATCTACTTTGCATCTAAGCATCTTTAATAGTCTACTCTGTTGTGTAATCATGCACAGAAAGCATGGCCAATGTCAACTTTTTACCCAACGGAAATAAAGAACTGTTAAGACATTTATAACATTTTATGTTGTTGTTAAAAAAAAAAGGCACAACAAATTAGGACGGTGACACTAATGACTGCATATCAATATCGGAAAAACAACAAGAATATTTTTTAGATTTGTATACCTTCTTTTTGAAACAAAATATTGATACTATTAAGCTTTTTTAAATTTTGCGAATTAAGCTTACTACAGCTTTGTTGGTGTTCAATATTAAGGCAACAAATTACTGTCTTTAACGCTGTAGATTTTCATCTTAAACGGTTTAAGAAAAAACGTTTTCTCCGATCTACAAAGAAGATAATGACTAAATAATGACTAAAAAAAGAGCCGCAGTAATCTCCCTTTATCGCTGACAAACGTCGGCCACAAGAAGAAAAAAAAACGAAACAAAAAAAAACGCACATTAAAATGCTCCGCGCCTATAACTGCCACTGCACCGATTGACTCAATAAAATTGTTGATCAATATTCTTGTGGTAATACTTAGATATTGATGAAGGTTTAATCGACTTTTTGGCTTTGCTAGAACGTAAAAACAAAAACAAAATGTAAGGAAACGATATAAAATGAATGAACATCAATTGAAAACTTTCTTTCAGAAAACAGCTCGCAAGCTCAGGGTCGCCATGTTGGTTCTCAATCTAACGCAGTTATCTATCTTCGGGAATCTTGATCGTTGTAGGTTATTAACTTTAGGAAGTTACCATTCTATCTAACCGTCTTTTATCGTATTTAACAAGTACGTGAAATTGTCAATTCAAGACGTGCTTTCAAAAACAAATTATAAATAATAAATTCACTTTATAATAGAGTTTTAGAAGACTTGAACCCATTTTCGTAGGCCGATATCAAAATCGTTTTTGCTTTGATCAGTAATAATACTTTAGGCATATATCGAACAAGAAGTTTATTTGAATATTACACTAGAGCTGACAGCAGTTCCTATTTTCTTTGGAAAAGAAAACCTTGGTGAACATATTCTAGACGTTTGCTCATTATATTCTGTGTTAGGACTCATGTGATGAGTCGGTTGGGTCGCCGGATGGTCCGTCAAGCAACAGTCTGTCATCGACTGTTGTTATTTGTTGGATGGCCCGCCGCTTAGCGACCGATGTGTGGGAAACTCTGTCGGGGTTTGCCACACTGAGGCCTGCCTGGCTAATGGAAGTCAAGCTTCTGAGCCGGTTTCCGTATAAGGAAGGAAGGAAGTAGTCAGTCATAGAATATTATAATTTGTTTGACGGCTCACCTGACGACAGACTGTCATATTATCACTTTGACCAAACCCTATGGAGTCTCTAAGGAGAAAAGGGCTAAGGTTACACATCTCCGACCTATTGGACTTTGGGTCGCTCTCTTCATTTGGTTTTCATATTTTCCTTTCAACATTTCTCCTCCAGGATTTTTTAAGTCTGCTACTCTACCTCTGTGGGTTCCAGACCAACATTTGCCCCGTGATGTTTTCATCTGTTCCTCACATGGAGTGTCTGATCCCTGAACACTTAATTGTGTCACAATCCCTATCTATGGGCTGCTGTCTTGTGTATTGGTGGATGCTGGGGATTTTTTTTTAGCCTCCCATCTTTATATGAGATGTGTCTTTCGTTGATTTTGACTCATACTCTAGAGGTTTGTTCGGAGAATCGGTTCAATTGGTTTAAGCATATGACTATTTATGAGATGGTTGGCAGTCAACAAGTAAAAGAAAACAAGATCTTCCAACTTTTTTTGTGAAGTTCCACTAGATTCCCGTGTCGTTGTTTGTAGTTTTCGGCATGACCTAGGCAATCACCTATAGGAATATCATTAATGAAAGCACGCTTCCCTGCCTAACTCCGGTCTTTATTGTGAAAGAGGTTGTTAGTTTTCTTTGTGGATCACTTGACTTGTAGTGCCTTATTAGCTTCTAGATAACATCTCTATTCATACGTTTCGAAGTCTATAAAGGGGATGATTGCCATTCTAGGAATCTTTCAATAATGACGTATAGCGTAATAGTTCACGACTAGCTTTATCTAACACTTCTTTTTCTTGTGTAAGACTGCTATCCAAGGCCTTTGTCTCTCCAGAAAGTTGGGAGATTTTGTCAGAACCTTTCAAGAGACAGACAGAAGTATTATCCCTCTCCAGTAGATGTATTGTGACAGTTCCACTTCTATGGCAGCTTTACATGGTAGCCTAGTTTCCAGTCAAATTGAACAAATGATGTCTGTACCAGCTGTTATGTCGTTTTTTGACACTCTTTTCCCTTCCTGTTTCTACTTAGTGGGGATATCTGTACTCACATTTAGTGGGTAATTAGCAGTCAGAAATGTTTGGTGAGATAATTTGGTTTAGAATCGCCTCAATGTGATGAACATTTGGTCTATGAGTTCTACGTTTTTGTGTTAAGATTTTTCCTGTTTAATCCTTTACTTGATTTATCTTCCTTCAATTGCATTGTTCGCACTATTCCTGCGATTTGCTTCATAATATTGTGTCTATGTTTATTTCTCTTTCCTGTCAATAATTCATCTTGTTTTATCTGTTTTCAATCTTCTTTATTGAACCACGTCTCTTATAACATCCATTTCTTTCGTTCACAAATTTTCCTATCCAATATGTCAGGGCATGTTAACTTCCATAGTCTGTTGTTCGCCTTTTTTTCTACCACACAGGAGAGTGCTTCAAACCTATTCTTTATCGTGCAATCAAAGTCCTATTTTACTTTTGGGCTCTTAGACATGTTACGTTGGACTTACAGTCCGGTTTACCAGCTCCGTCCTTGACGATTTGTTGTTAACGTTACCAAATGAAGCTTGTTGTCTAAACCTACGTCGACCCGTCTCACCCTAATATCTAGTAAACTTCATCTCCACTTTCTTGGAACTGTGGTGTGGTCTATTTGTTTTTCGTTTCACCATCTGTTGACATACAGGTAGTCTTGTTGCCCATCCTCCTACTCGAACGATTAAATCATTAACCCTTTATTTACGGAATTAAGTTCTGAATGACATTTTGTCTTAAACAATGTAATATTATATTGCTTTTGGTACACTTAAATCATGCCTCGAAGGAAATTTAGTTTCGTTAATTTTTGATGGCCCAAATATGTATTGGTACTTATAAGTATCGTCATAATGTAGGACATTTTTTTTCCAAAAAAAAAAATATAAAAAATTACAAAACAAGAATAAGCTATAAAATTTATTAACTAATAACATGGTAACCATTATAACAATCATTTTTATAATTTTCGCACACAAACACAACACAAAATTTTATTTTGAGTATTGTTTTAGACTGGATTTCCTATGGGAACACAACTTAGACCTTTTTTTGAATGTACCAAATACAGAAGAAGGTGCCGACATGTCCTACTTCCTATTCCTTGGTGACACATTCATGTCTGTGGTCTTTCTGGTGTGGCAACGGTCGTTTGACGGAACCTGCTTTTGCTGGAAGCTTCCAATAGAAATTACAATTGACCTCATAAATACAATATTTTGAATCTATATATATATATATATATATATATATATATATATATATATATATATATATATATATATATATATATATATATAAATGTTCTACACCCCACCCTCACACTAACCTTCTTCTAAATGTATAAATATCGATTTGAATGCACGTTGATTATTTATTATCAAAATAATTTTTATGCCACTACACATCGAATATCTTCCATTTCAAAGAAATCCTAAAATTATGACCTGTGTGCCCTGACGGTACTCCTAAGTATTCGTGTAAACATTGATCTAATACAAAGACAATTCGATTAAAATTGAATAAATAGACGTTAAACACACTTACCTGACCATCGAAGATGCCAATAAAAAATATTTGGGATTACAAAATTTGAATATTAAGGTAAAACGAAGGAAAGCTATAAAATCTGTACACCACGTTTGTGAACTACCAATACGGGAAGATGTTAAAAATAGAGCCGCACCGGTAATTTAAAAAAAACGGCGATCCGGCCAATTACCGGCTCCTCAGTGAAGATAATGCTATTAATTATATCAGTAATTTTAAAAATTCAACGTAGATTAAAAATAATACGCTTAATTAAAGAGGTACTTATCAGTACCGTCAGTAGATAAATGCAGCACAAACACCAGAGTTAACGATTATCTTTCATTCCGCCTCCAATTTTCCCAATTTTTAGTTCCCAATGTTTGTTTTCTGTCCCCACTTTGGTCTTCATGGCATTATTATTTCTTTTTTAATCTTTTTTTTGGTGATTTTAAACAATTAAATCCTGAAGGTCGTGGTGTGAATCCTTAATTTTTTTTCCAATGTTTCCCATTGGTCGGTGCAGTGGCGTCGCTAGGTCGGGTGTTACCCGGTGCGACACGTCGTGGTGTCAGCCAACCCCCCCCCCCCCCCCCCCGCGAGAAACAAGGTTTATATATATATATATATATATATATATATATATATATATATATATATATATATATATATATATATATATATATATATATATATATATATATGGCGACGTCATTTGGCTGTTGATACATTTTAACAAAAGATTCGACATACAAATATAGACAATATTTTAAAAAACAGACGTCAATAATTATGTTTTCTTTTAGTCGTATTTTGTTTTAGGTAACATTTGTTAATAACTATTTTCGCGGGCTTAAGTTAAGTGTTATTTGTTTTTGGAATATCAATGCCGCCTCCATTGTCTAAAGTATTATGGTCGACATTGTTTTATTTTTATCAGCTGTTAAAAATGTTGAGGCACTACCACGGCAGTCAGTCTCTGTAACAGAATGCAGGAAATGACGTCACTGAACGAATCACGTGATCTCCACGTCAGCGGGATGAACGGCACAATGACGACACAGCTGGTGAGCGACGCCACGCGGGAGATGTTCATCTTGGTGAACCACGTGGTCTTGAGCACGTCTATCTGTCTGATGGGCATCGTGGTCAACATCCTCAACATCTGCGTCTTCGTGAAGCAGGGCCTCAAGCGGTCAACCAACTCCAGCTTCTTCGCCATGGCCGTCTCGGACCTGTGCGGCGTCCTGACCCAGGTCTGGCACAACTTCTGTCTCGACCCGTACGTCGACCGGCTGCATCTGCCGGTTGACTTCATGGACGTTCAGTACTTAACCGCCGGCTGGCCGAATTCATGTCTGGTCCGTATCACCGGTTGGATAACCGTCTACATCACGGCGGAGAGGTGCTTGTCTATCGCGTTACCGCTGAAGATCAAACAAATCGTTACACCACGAAGGACGGCGTGTGTACTGGTGTTTATATACGCCATCAACATCGCCTCGATACTCCCGCTCTACTTCTCTGCTTACTTCAGCTGGAACTTCTACCCCCTCTACAACACAACAAAACTCGGGATCTCCTTCCGGCCGAACAAACTTGAAATCGAAAGTTTAATTTTCATATTCCAAGCCTCGCTAGCCATCACGGCTTTCATTAGCGTCATCATTTTCACTTCCGTCTTGGTCGTCAAGCTCAAGAAAAAATCAAAATGGCGGCAAAAATCAACATTCGACAAAGACCAAACCGAGTCTATGTCAAACCGTGAAAGACGGACCGTCAGTTTGATCATCCTGGTCGCGACAGTTCTCATCGTCTGTTACTCGCCTGCTGTCGTCTGCTCCATCACGACGACGCTGTACCCGGCGTTCAGCATCACGGGCCCGCAGTCCAACCTGTTCCACATCGCTTGGTCTTTCGGCTTCCTGTGCCACTCCATCAACTCGAGCGTGACCATCTTCTTGTACTACAGCATGAGCAGCAAGTACCGCGCCACCTTCAACCAGCTGTTCCCGCTCTGCGCATGCTCGTCGGCTGCTGACTCAGATGAGTCGTCTGTCCAACGGACGTCAGAAAGTGGCGTGGGCAGCGTACAAAGTGTAGTGAGCAGCGTACAGAGTGCCCGTATCTGACAGTCGGGTTAGACTTAGCAATTTGGACCAGACACTCTGATTTAACTCATAACAAAACTTTGCCCTAATCCTACAGAAGATTTTAGCATATTATTTCTAACAAATTTAAAAAGAAAGAGGCTAAAAATTTTTTTATAAACGAGTGATATTTGATGCTTGCTTTTATAAGATGACCTAAGATTTTTATATTTAAAACTTTTATTTATTACCTTATTAAAACATATTTTACAGCCGTATTAGAATAACATCACTTGCCACCTTTTTTTTACCAGCACACCTATTTTACCATCTCTTCTATTTTACCACCACACCTATTTTATTACCACATCTTTTGTATTTGTTTGAAAATTGAATACTGCGAGTGCAAATTATATTTAAATTTTTGGAGAAGAAAAACACGAGGAATGTGAAACAATATGTCTGCTAATGTCAGTACAGAAGGAAACAGAAAATAGCTGCCAATGTTTCTATCATTAAGTGACAATATATATATATATATATATATATATATATATATATATATATATATATATATATATATAGGGCCTATATATATATATATATATAGGCCCTATATATATAGGCCTATATATATTTTAAAAAATTACATTTTTCCTACAAAAGGTTTGATCCTTTTCCTTTACTGGACCTCAGTCATAAGGACAAATGCATAGCAGTCATACAGGCAGAACAACATAGCAGTCATACAGGCACATATAGATAGAAACTGGATGTCTAGATTATTGTAACATGTAGAGCGTTACAGCATTCACACAGCTACACATTTCATACCACTACAAAACAAGCAACTACAAAATTCACACAACGACAAAATTTAACTGAGTTTACAATTCAGATGAATCTGAAAATGAAAGTAAACGATTCACGACAGACTACAATGTATAATTAACAAATTTAATTTAAAAAATGTATACCTACAATCTCTCAATTGAAACAATTAACAAACATTTCTAGCCTCGACCAAAACCATTTAACGCTCGATCTTGACACTATCTCCATGTGCACCTTACTCTAATACAGGGGTTCCCAACACCATGCCCGCGGGCGCCCTGGCGCCCGCCGAACGATTCGTATGTGCCCGCCTCTCACTATTCGACAGAGACAGAATTTTTTTCATAAACATTATTGAAAGGTTTAAGGGGATGAAAATCGAAAGTTTGAGGGCGGGGGGGGGGGGGGTGCAAATCGAACATTTTAGTGGGGGAGGGGGTGCAAATCGAAAGTTTGAGGGGGGTGCAAATCGTAAATTTGACGGGGGGGGGGGGGTGCAAATCGAACGTTTTGTCCCCGGGTGACGGGAAGGGTCGCTACGCCTCTGGAAGGAGTTTGTCGATTTAAAATAGGCGGTGCCCGCCACCCTACCGATATTTTAGAATGTGCTCTAGAGTAAAAAAAGGTTGGGAACCCCTGCTCTAATATATATATAAGAAAATATTCATTGAACTCTACTCACAATCTGTTAAATGGAATTTTAAATTATTCTACATTCCACCTAGACTGACAGGTGATATCCCTATGTCATTAAACATACATAACACATATCATTGGAACCTCAACTATTTTAATTCATGGTATAAATCTATAATATCACGTCGAATTAAATGTACAGGAATATTTCAAGCAAACATCGGACATTAGGATTATAAGATTAAGCAAAAAATAATTAATATTTAGTTTGTACAATTTTTTAAAGCAAGTTACAAATAGTTTACAAGGCTCATTTAGCAAATAAAACGATCAAAAAGTCAACAATAGATTATATATTACAATGTATATTTATCTAAGCATCGTCTTCTGCAACTAAACTGTGAGAAGGTCTGTAATATACATGGACATTTTTCTTGAGCCAACTGGATCCTGCGCTGTCTCGTAAAGGTGCGCCGGCGTCTAAGTTGATCTCGAACCCACGCACTTTTAGCTGCTGCACTACGGCCTCTAGAGGTTTGTTGTTGACGTGCGACAGACCGCCCTGACCTAGGGGGGGGGGAATGATAGATTGTTCACAGGAAATAAACAAAAGTTAATAAACGATAAATTGGTTTGGCGGTTTTTGGAACACACTTTTACATTCAGTTTAATACTGATTGTTTATGGGCGTTCCCTGGTGTACACAAATATGAGGTTAGGTGTAAATTAAATCATCCTACCTGGCACAGCCCAGCTCAACACGATACCCTCCCTGGCATGTCTGGCCAAGTTGTCCAGATAAATATCTTCAAACTTGGCCGGAATGTGTTCACCCACCTCCACACTGATGACCCAGTCGAAGATTGGAAGGTTGTATTGGGGAACTGTTAGGTCTAGGAATAGCACCTATAGAATACAAAAACTTTTTTTTAAAAATAATAAGTAAAACCAATATGCCTTTAAGATGATTTATTTTTATTTTGTACAAAGTAATTAACATACGAAGATGTTAATGTGTGTTTTATGTGTAACATTCATTACAAAAAGTGTAGAGTGTTAAAATTAATTGTTTGATCATCTCAAATTAAAAAATAAACATGCATATGCCGTGTTATTAAAAGCAGTTTGCTCTACTTTTCCTTCGTGTACTAAACGGGTACTTTACCCTTCTCATTTTTCTGATAAAATTAAATCTTTATTTACAAATGAAGGCCTACGCATTTCATTGTTGTAAAGGCTAGACAAAATAAAGCAGTTAGAACTGACAAAAATACTGTGAAGGGTTTTTTTTCTTCTGGAAGTAAAGTTTTGAAGAACTAGATTGATTGTGCATGTTGTGTTTGTTCTGTGATTTTATCTATTGGTGCATATGCTATTTACTTTTAGAAGCTTGTTTTAGCTTGTTTATCGTCTGCGCAACAATTCTAATATTGCGTGTGCAGTGTTGGATGGCACTAACAAAAATATCTTGACGCTATGGTAAAACACGCCACACTCTTGATACAGACCTCCAAGATGTGGAAACACCCTCCCCCCACACACACCCCACAGTCACTAACCCCACTCACCGTGTCGTTAGTGACCGACCCACAATTAGTGGCTCATTGATGTTAACATCCCCCCCCCCCCCCCAAACACAGTCGTCCCCTCCCCCCCCCCCCCAACCCACCGTTCCGTTAGTGACGAGCTCACAGTACGGAGCCCCATCATAAGCCGTGTAGCTCTTGACCTCCTTCAGCGTGTCCAGATGTCTCTTGTAGGCCCCAGGCCCGTCGCCAAAGCTCCCAACAGACTTGCCTTTAAAGAATGTGCTAAGAGCTTTGGAGAAACCCTTTTAGAAAAATCAAATTAAAAAAAATTAACCTACCAAAAACGTAGGTATGTCAGACAAAACGGCTCTTTCATGCTATAATCTTCGTCTTAATCTTTGATCTATATCGAAAGGGATTTGCTACAACACAAGCGTAACAAATAGCCATAAAGCCTGTTGATTCCGACAATCTGCTTTACCTGCTGAATTTGATGCCATAGCCTTTGTCCAAGTAAGAACAATCAGCAAGGCTGCAGTTGTTTAATGTTGGAGTTTTCTCTCCAAGATGTGTTACTGTTCCGAAGTAGCGAGCCTCATCTGACTAAGGTCCGAACTCGGGACTTATAGGGTTACCAGTCATACGCAAAACTATTGATGATGTAACCAAAGTCATCCCACCTGACTGGACACTATTATTGTATACTAGAATCAAGGCTGTAAACTTGTGTGAATCACAGAGCAGGGATCCGCCCAATAATTCTTCAAATCAAACTGGTAAATAACCTTCAACCATTGAAATAATTCAAATAATACTTATCGACTCTACTTTCACTTTCTTTCCCACGCAGACATGAAACACGAACCAGAATTAAATTAAAAAGGTAACAAAGTAACACAGATAACTAGCGTAAAAACAAAACGCAACCCAGACTTTAGATTTCAGGTATCGTCCGCAGACGCCGTTTTTGATTAATTAATTAGTGTAATTAATTAATTTTTTTTACCTCATCCCAGACGTGTTGGCTGCTTGTTGGACTACTGGCTACAGCACACCATCCACCGTTCTCAGACACCATGTCGTTCACCTAATGGTCACCATTTAGTGGAAAACTTCATTCGCCGTTTTAGATTTTTAATAATTTCATTAACAGTAAATTAAAAAACAAAAACCCACCAGAAGTTAATACAGCTGCCTAGTCTTTTGGAAAGATTTTTTAGAAATAGTTTTCTTTCGTTGCCTTATACTGTAGGCCTCCTAATATTTTCAAATTAAAAGTCTACTTTGGGTTTTATACTCTAAAGTAATATTTTTCTTTATGAGTACTATAGTTATCGATGTATGTTAACTGCGACACACTCCCAACACCGGCTTCCACCAACGGCTTCAACCAACGACGAGGTTACCTTCTTCAGCTTGAGCATCTCACAACTCTGTTGCCCGTACAACATCATCATGTGGTTTAGCGTGCTGGACAGTAAGTTCCTCTGTCGTCTGAAACGATCTGTCTTCCATTGTTCTTCAATGGCCAATTCATGCGAGTTTTTAATCCTGTAAAACAATTTCCATATAAATATAGGAGCAGCTAGGAAATAGTGTTGTCCATATCTATGCACCATCAAATGAAACTAACTAGACGAAAGCTAGACGACTGGCTACTGATATACACACACACATATATATATATATATATATATATATATATATATATATATATATATATATATATATATATATATATATATATATAATATCCAAGGCGTACATACCGTACTGAACCAGTCATGTTTTGAACCTCCACTCTAGTTTTGTACACAACGACAGACATGCCGGCCAAAACCAACACCATCACAACCATCACCATCTTCTGTTAGAGGTGTAAAACGTTGGGCATTACACAATCACCGTTTTTGTACACGGTACAAAATATTTCCATTTAATGGCTTATAAATAGTTTAGTCATGTCCCTGCGTCCTGAAGAAGACGAGTGAGCAATGTTGACGTCTGTGTCAAGGTTTAGATTTACCAGGAGACGAGTGAGTAATGTTTTAGTTTTACCATAAAAAAACATTTGTATTAGAGTCAAAAATGTTAGTCTACGCTAGTGTGTATCTTCTACTGTTACATCTCCACTAATATCTTCTTGAACTGTTTTTTTTTTTAATTTTTGTTTGGAAAACCGCATGAAAAGTTATCTTTTAAAATGATTATTTTAAGGTTTCAAAATTTCATTCAAAAGTACCATCTCGAACCTCATGATCCACGGGGCAGGCGAGTTTCCCCGTACCAGTGACCTCGGAATATGAAGGCATAGTGTGGCTAGGACCGTACCAATGCCTTTACTCTTCCTAACATGGAAAAAATGATAATTTAAAAACTTTACCTTTCCAAATGTGAGGTTCATATTTGCCATTACTCTCGTGTTGTGTTAGGTGACAGGAGCTATGTGAGACAGCTGTTCTATTGAGCTGAAAGTTGAACGCATTTCATTACCGTCAGCATTGGACAACAGCTGAGAAATATGACTGAAAGGCATGGGAGACTCATGTTAGACAGTTGAGAGGCGGACTTTATTAGTAGAGACAAAAGAAAGAAAAGAGCGCATTGAAACAGCTGTACATTCATAAGGACAAAACGTGCACTAATGTAGACAAAACACAGACATACAGACACACACAGACACACAGACACAAAAACACACAGACACAGGCATATATATATATATATATATATATATATATATATATATATATATATATATATATATATATATATCAGATACCGTGGCAGGTACCGCACGAACATGTAATGCCATTTGCCTAAGCCTTTAACAACGGCATTACAAACACATAAGTGAAAAAAAATCCAGGACTGTTTATCGTTGAAGAAATCCCATTGTCCTTTTAATCACTTTGTCCCCTTAAATCTGTCTCGTAACACAGGTAGGACAGAACAGGTAAACAACGTCTTAGATCGATCGGGATAAACATGTGTGCTAGAACTTAACCTTTAACGCTAACATGTACCCAACCCTGCTCTAAACCCTCTATACATTTAAATATAAACTTTTTATTTTAGTCACAACTAGATAACAAGTATAACAAGTATTTATGTCCAAAACTTTGAGTAGAGAGGAGATGTACATTTGTGTGATGTCTCGCGTAACATAGTTAAATTAAGCATTGAATAAAAGGCTGATGATGGTCTTTAAACCTCTAACAATCGTTTTTAATGCCGAAGTTTCCATGGAAAGAGTAGACGCTGGGACATGTTTTTGACAGACATCAACCAGAATCCTTCACTATTGATAACCTTTTTTTTTACATGAGACAAAAAAAAAAGTATTGATATGTTTTTAAGGCCCCAGTTGCTGGACGGTCAGCCGCCCCCTTAATCCGCCACTGGCTGTATGTGTGTGTATCCGTGTTATGAGTTATTCTAAAACGGACCAGATGGGACCTACAATACATTTTTTGGTAAGTCAGCCGTCAGAATAAATACATAAATATGGTCTTTTTATAATGGACAAGTTCAAACTTGTTGAAAATTTATAGATGAATTTCTTTTCGAAAAGATACTACACTTTCAAAGTTAGCGGTAGCGACCGATCCTGCTATCACCTTCTACATGCTACGCTTCTGGCATTTGGCATTAAAAAATAAATGTATGCCAGCATTTTTTTCGTCTATAAATAACAGCATTGTTTTATGTTCCAAATCCCGGATCATAAAAGTGCTAAAAAATATGTCTGTGAGAAAATCGCTTGTTCAATGCAATTTACTTTTTAAAAAAATTGTAAGACAAAATTCCGAAGTTTCCAATGGAAAAAGAAATTAACTAAGAGCAAGTTAGTTAAGTTATCGATTTGTTAGCGTAAACAAGTACGTAATACGGCATTTTATTCTGAACTTTAGACATCAACTTTACACAAAATTTGTAAACCGTATGCGGCTCGAGGGTCGGAATGCTCTGATTTCAATAATCCCCCCCCCCCCCCGCCTGCTCAGCACGGGAGAATAATCAGCTTACATTGAAAACAAAAACTTGTTTTGTTTCACAGAGGTGCTGTTGTTCTTGTCGCTTCCGAATTCACAAACATTTCAGAGGCCACAATTGGTGAGATTGATGGTATGGTAAACCCAATCGTTGTCTGGCTTACTACAGTGGGTGTTCAGGGGGGCGGACACTGGTAAAAGTATGTTTTCTATATAAATTCCATTTCGTTTGGTATATATATATATATATATATATATATATATATATATATATATATATATATATATATATATATATGAATATTCATATATATGAATATGGTATATATATATATATATATATATATATATATATATATATATATATATATATATATATATATATATATATATACCATATTCATATATATGAATATTCATATATATATATTCATATATATATATATATATATATATATATATATATATATATATATATATATATATATATATATATATATATATATATATATATATATATATATATATGAATATTCTTCGCGGAGCCCCCCCCCCCAACCCCAGACTGAGAGGAGCTGAGAGGGGGCCCCAAATTTACTCCTTAATTGTTGGTTTTCATTATAAAAACTTAAATTTTAATGTTTGCATCACAAGCTTCAATTTTTTTTTACAAAATATCTTACACGCACACACAAATATATATCAGAACTTCTTTTTTCATTATACGTTTAAAACTTAGGTAGTTATCTACCTAATTGTTACCGGTTATGTTGTTACCGGTTATGTCGTTACCGGTTATGTCGTTACCGGTTATGCTGTTACCGGTTATGTCGTTACCGGTTATGCCGTAAGCGGTTATGTTGTTACCGGTTAGGTTATTACCGGTTAGGTTGTTATAGATGACTTACAAGTACACTCAGATACAGCTGATCACCCTGACAACACTAATTAACTCTATCAATACCAGTACGGTTGTTCGGTAGTTAACAGGAGTTGTCGCCTATTCGTCTCTGTAGTATAGGTGTATGGGGTAAAACGTAGACTTTGTGTTAAACTTTGAAAGTATTCTTTGACCGGCAAGCTAGAATCAGACGGGCTAA